GGCGTTTCATCGCACAATATTGTCGAAGACTGCCATGCACGTACGCGGCCACCTTTCTAGCACTGTTGCGCTGGTAGATGTCATATTGACCCCAATAACACTCATTTGCTACGTCTCCAGACCTTGCAATTTTGCTTTCAATGCATTTGTTTTCTTAGTGTTGGCTGACGTTTTTACCCGCGACAACGTCGCCCGTCTTGGCGTACAGCGCTTGGATCTCGGCGCTAAATACCTTTTTGACCTCGTTGCGCTTGACCTTGAACGTCGGCGTTGCGAGGTTGTTTTCAATTGTAAACGGCTCAGGGTGCAGCAGCAGCGCCTTGATCAGCTCGAAACCGTGGAGCTTTCCCTTCTTTCCGACGGCCACAATGTCGCGAAGGACCGCTTCGTTGATGGCGGCATGCGCACAGAGCTCGGCAAAGGTGCCCGTCACATCCAAAGACGCTGCGAGGCGCGTGATCTCGGCTTCTTCGGGCACAATGATCGCAATGAGCACCGCGTGCAAGCTGTCGCCATACACGAACGACTGGTTGATGTACACGCTGCCCTTGATGACGTTTTCGATCTTCTCGGGGGCCACGTACTCGCCCTGCGAGAGCTTGAAGATGTTTTTCTTGCGGTCGACAATCTTGAGCCGGCCGTCCAAAGTCCAGACGCCAATGTCGCCCGAGTGCAGCCAGCCGTCAGCGTCGAGCACTTCGTTCGTCATTTGCGGGTTCTTGAAGTAGCCCTGAAAGACGCTCGGTCCACGGTAGCAAATCTCGTCGCGGCCGTTCACAGGGATCTGCTGGTCGTCGAGGCCGTGCACCGTGTCCGTCACGTTGTACCTAGTACATCCCATCGTCAGCACAGCTGGAAGGGAGCGTTCGTCTGCGTCGCACCCCATGTCTGGCACCGAGACGAGCTTGATTTCAGCCGACGAGAGCGGCGCGCCGACGGTGCCGCCGGTAAAGTCGGCAATGTCGGTGACGTTGGATGCGCCACAGTACTCGCTTTGGCCGGAGCCTTCAAAGATAGGCACGCCTAGAAGCACCCAGGGATAGCACGGACGTCGGTCCTTCGGATGGTCCTCGTGTTGCATCTGCGTCAACGCGGACGAGAGCGTCGCGGCTTTGCCCCTCGCTGTTGCGTTTGCTGTTTGGTTTAAACGGCGTCACGTGCAGCGACATGTACTAGCAATGCTAGTACATGCATTTGAGAGCGTTCTATTGGTGCAATGCGACGTGAACTCGAATTCAAACACAACTTGGGCTGATTTGGCCACCGCAATGTGGCGACGAGACGATGATGCGAGAGCGATAGTTCCTCATTGCCTGTCAAGGTAGCACCAAACGCATTCTACTGGGCGCATCAAAATGACGATTGTCAGATCCAAATTCTCGACGACGATTCGCATCGTGGGCCAGCTACGACGTTCAGCTCATCACCGTTCACGCGATAGTGGCGATGTTCGATAGCACTGGAGCCGATCAGGAAATTGCACCGGTCGCCTGTATTTCGACCACGTATTTCTTATCTTCACTCAAGGTCACTCTGGGCAGAGATGAAATTGGGCGATAGCAGTGCACGTTGGTGGAGCTCTTCATTGAAATCGATTCCAGGACGGATCGCCGTCGAAGAGCAATTTGGATTGGCTCGCGGGTCGTGGCTTTTTATTGGATGAAAAGAAAGCACAACGCGGTATCGGATTGGCCGACAGGAAATAGCCCTTGAAGTTTCACTATTCTCGGAACCGACACGAGCAAGCATGGCCGAGCGGGCGCGGCTCGGCGACGTCGGGGGCTCATCTACGCTAGGCGGCCGGGACTCGACGTACCTTCAGGACCAAGTCCGGACGTTGCAGATCCAGGGTGACTACTATGCGCGCAAGGTCGAGATCGAGAAGCGCCGCGGCGACGAGCTCGACAAGCAGCTCAAGGTCGCTCACATCTCGCCTACCTGCATGGCATGACGCTGTGGATAGACGTACCGCGAGACGCACAATGAGACGCGGCGCATGATGAGCGCGAGCACGCCGCCCGCGGCCAAGGCGCCGCTCGACACAGCGTCGGACCAAAAGTCCCTGCGCATCTTGGAGAACCGGACTGGAAAAAGTGCTCATTCGCCTCAACGAAGCCGTAGCCCATGACTGCTCAAGCTAACTATAGGCTCATATGGACTAGTGCAATGCCAACAAGAAGCTCCGGGAGCAAATCCAAAACTTGCGTCGCGAGAAGGTCCAGCAGCAGCAGATCCACGAAAAGCTCGACCGTGAATTGCACACAAAGGCGCAAGACGTCACCAAGACGAGCCAGCTCACGCAGAGCATCTTTGACGCGCGGGACCGAGCGCAGCGCCAAGTGGAGGCGCTCCGGGCGCAGGCGGCCGAGGAAAGCGCGCGCTTTGAAGCCGATTGGAACGAGCGCCGGGAGGTGATCGAAGTCGACCGAATGACCATGCGCTCGATCCAGAACCACGGGTCCATGTTCGCGCAGTACGACGACGAGAACGATGGCAGCCGCGACAACGGGACGCCGGACGCCAAGCTTCGGGACGACACGATGAAAGCGTCGTGGCTCATTGCCGCCAAGGACGCCGACCTGCGCAAGCAAACCGAGCGCCTCAAAGCGTACGAAGATGGACTTGCCAAGGTGCGCAAGAAGACAGGCATTAAGGACATTGGAGAGCTCGCGAGCGCGCTCCTCGCGGCGGAGGAGAAGAACTTTTCGCTCTTCAACATGATCAACGAGCTCAACACGGAGATGGAGTCGGTCGAGATCGAGAACAATCGATTCCAAGACATGATCAACGAAGTGCAAGGTTGTGGCTCGGACCTCAACCGCGCGCGCATCAAGGCGAGTCTCGAAGCCCAGATTGAAAAGTCCCATGTCAAGGCCATGCATTTTGAAGCGCGCGCCGCCGAGTCGAACGCAGTCATCGAGTCGATCAAGGCCGGCGCGATGAACATCTTCCACAAGATCGGCTACAACGACGAAGCCTTGCTCCAGCAGCTCAATTCGACGGGCCTCACGGACATCAACATGCTCAAGTTCCTCGGCATCATCGAAAAGCGCATTGGCGAGATCGTCCAGATGCACAATATCGTCTACACGCAGTCGTCGACCGGCAGCAAACTCGACGTGAATCTCGGCCTGTCGCCCGGCAAAGGCCCCGTCAAGCGCGGGAACGGCAACCTCGGCGCACACGAGTACCACCCGACGCCGCCGGCGGCCGACGACTTTGTCGACGACGACTCGGACGACTCGGACGAGCTCATCAAGCCGTGCACGCTGGCCGAGATACAAGAAAAGGCGGCGGCAGCAATAGGCAAACGAAAAGACAAGCCGCGCCAAAAGCGGTGAGGGGACCAACACAATGCAAGGTGAAAAATGAGTTTGGTGGCTCATGGGTTTTGGTTCGTATGCCTTGTACATGCAGCAGCGTCACCAGCAAGAGGCCTGTCGATTGCAGGCTCAGAGTTGGCTACATTCACGGGCCCAACATATGGGCGTTCCTAGTTCCATGGGGTCCATATCCTAGAACTGATATACTAGTAGTGTACGTAGTGAGTATACTATCGAGGTTAGGGCGTAAATAACCTCGGATACTCGACTAGGCTTCGTCGTCGTACGCGACCGTCGATGCGGGCTCCACGTGGCTCATAAAGACATGCTGGATGCAAGGAGCAAAGCGCTGAGAAGCCTCTCGAACAGTCTCGGGTTGAAACACGTTGTCCTGGAGGTTGAGCTCGTCGATCAGGTGCGCGTCCGACGACCAAGTGAGCTGCGACGCCTTGCGCTTGCGTCCGGATGTTGCCGCCACGAGGCTTTGGAGCCCATCATCGCTGAGCAAGTTGCCGCGGAGGTCCACGGCGTCGAACGGAAGCAACGCCGCGCGCTGCAAAAGTGCGCGGAAGACGGCGACCGCGCCTTGGTTCCGCAGGCGGTTCTCGCCGAGCGATAGGCGTCGCAGCGTGCGATTGGACGCCAACGCCACCACGAGCGGCGACGGTGGCGCGTCACCGAGACCGATCGAGCTCAGGTGGAGCGTGTGCACGACCGTGTTGCTTGCAATAAAGGCACTCAGCTCCGTGCCAAACGCTGGGCCGACGTAGTTGCGACTGAGATTGAGCGTCGCGATGTAGGCCTGCGTCGTAATCGCTGGTAAAAGCACAGAGGCGCCGAGATCCGTGATGGCGCAGTTGACGAGGTAGAGCTCTGTCAAGCTGGTCAAGTGTGGCAAGACGTCTGATGCCAACTGAGACGCCCCGGTGTCGCCGATTTCGT